AGTTTGCAATTGATTGTAACAAGGATTACAGCAACGCACATCAAATTCAAATCCCATATTAGGAATATTTACACGATTACTGGAACAATTGTCACAAATAGCTTTTCCACAGTTTCTACAATGATGTTGACGAATACCTTTAAAAAAATAAAAACACAAATCAAAAATACAATATCAAATAATCTAAATTTAAACATATTCATTTACCGATTTGCTTTTGATCCATCATGGAACGAAAATTCCAAAAAAATGGATAGGCGATTGCAATCTTCCGAGAGTATTGTATTATGGTGCCATTTTCTTGGCCTATGTACAGTTGACGGGTATCTTGGACATAACCGATACATGTACATCCTGATGGCATATACTGACAAACACTTGGCCAGTACTGTCCGGAATCGCGTTTTAACCATATTCTCACAGTTCTGTAAAATGCAGTATATGGAAATGTAAAACTCTACCTTTCCTATTTTTAATATTTTCTCAATTGTAAACAAATGCAGAATAATTTTTTCAATTATTCTCAATTGTAAACAAATGCAGACTAACTTTTTCAATATTTTCCCAGATGTGACTATATTCAGACTCGCTCATTTAATTACTCTCAAATGTTACCAATAGTTTGTGTACAATTGAGAATAATTGAAAAAATTAGTCTATTTCTTTACAAGCGCCTGTTGCATTAAAGAATCGAGAAATTATTATGCAAAACTTTTATGAACTTTTGTACGAAAGCTTAACGCCTTTCAGTTCGTATGAAGTAAGATTGGCGATATACCAACAAATCGGAAATTCGATTGAAAAACATATGAAATTGTTTAAAATTCAAAAGGTGTGAAAGAAATATACAACACATATGAATTCAAAAGGTGGTGTGAAAGAAATTTACAAAAACATATGAATTCAAAAGCTGTAGTAGTATTTGCATATAGAATATTGGTTGTGTAAACGGGTGGTTATGCCGGTGTCGCCGTTTATTCAAAAAAATTATACCTATCAATATGGAATATGGCATTGGTAACGACGAATTTGATGGTAGCCAACATGACAAAAAAACAGCAAAGCATGAAAGAAAATGCAATATTTAAGTCGTGATTTATTTAATAAACTGCAAAGAGATGTAAAGAAGAGCACACATTTCTTAAGTAACAAAATTTTTAATGCTTTTTGTTTATTTTCTTATTCTCAGTAATTTGTATAAAAATTGCCAACATCTGAGAATAAGCGTTCACATTTGTTTACACTTCTCAATAATTAAAAAAGTATTTGTCTGAAAATTGAAAAGTAAACATTTTTAATAATTGATGCTGAAAAGTGATCAACAATCGTAATCCAATCATTCCATATTAAGAATCGTTAACTTCACGCGCAAATTAAGGTTTTTCAAATTTTTTCATTTTTATCATGAACCAAAGCAAGCGGACAAATTTGAAAATTAAATATTTCCGAAGGTGTTCATGTGGCTGAGAATTCCGGTAGATTAGTTTAGTTAATTGCAGAACGTCTAACTATAAACATCGTAATATGGATGAATAAATTCAATATTTAATGTGTTCAAATTTCTTTGATAGTTAATTGAATAACTGCATTTTGAAATTTTATTACTTCCGTTGTTTAATTTGATTTGAAATTTGATTGAAATTTTCTGTCGAATTCCAGATCGAAAGCATATAAAATCTTATTATACACTCTTAAACAGTCTTGAACAGTTGTAAACACTTTGTTAAAATAGCGAAATTCCGGATCGAAACTATATAAAATGTCATTAAACAGTCTTAAACAGTCTTAAACTTGAAAAACTTTTTTTGAATTACTTGACGTAAAGCTTTCTATGTCATTTGCACAATCGGGACAATTTTTATCGGTAAATTAAAAGTATGAGTCGGATACACTGTGTATATTATAATCTAATGATGACTGAAGTTTTTGAAATGTTTGGCTTTCTTTATATCTTAATTTTCTTAGTTATTATAAACAAAGGTACACCCATTTTTAAATGTCATGGATGACTAAAGCCATGTTTTACTTAGCCATCTCTGGCTTCGCTATATTGATTACAACGAAAACCCATGCACCGACGGACATAACCGAAGCTTACCGTATCGCATATAAGCCAACGCCTAATCAATCGCTTGTTTATGGATGTTGCAAAGGCAACAACAAAATTAATATGCCTTTTTCTTTCGCGATGGAAGCAAAAATTAAAAATTGAACCATATTAAAGTAAAGCAGATCAGATAAAGAATACAATGGAATAGCGTGAACATTGTAAAGAATGTGTAAATTGTTAGATGTCTGTTAAAACCAGAATTAATAACTTTTTATTTTTAAATACATGGTACTTATTATTGTAAAATATCTTTACAGAAATCTCTAATGGTTATATTACCAAATACCTCCAACATAAGAAAAGTTTAACGTTTCACAGCACTTTTTTTGACATATGAGATTGCATTAATATATCTGCTACTTTATACATTAAAAGAAATACCTTCAAATGCTCGACAAAAAATTTTATATTTTATAACATATCTTTTTCTTTTATAAGCAGTTACAAAATTCATGTAATTTTTTATTTTTTTATTTATTTATTTATTTATTTATTTATTTATTTATTTATTTATTTATTTATTCCACTTATACTAGAAACTCAACTAAAACAAAATGGCAGTCGAGTTCAATTGACTCTTAGGTAAATCTTAAAATTAATTAATAATAAAACTTAGTATAAGTACAATAAAACAAATAAGGAGGAAAAAAAGAAAAAAAAAAAGCATGTACACAACTAGCATAGAGCCACACCCACAACCGATACAGAAACAAATTGCAAGTGAACTCCTAAGCCATCGCAAACATGCATAAGCTTGGCAACCGATAATTGTTAACAACAAATTAATTTTCGACTCATAATGACATATTTAAGGTTAAGTCAGTTTAAGTACGACATAGGTAAATAGCGCGTATTAAGCAATGTTGCTTTAATGGACTTTAAAGAGTCCGTTAATGAGAATAAATGATAGACGTCATTTAGGTTCTTGCAAACAACTCTGAGAGAGTTAAACAGTTCAAAATTATATTTGCATTGACTAAGCTTTATCAACATAAAGTGCCTAGAGAAGCGGTTAGGGACATTAAAGCCTAAGAAGTAATGCGGGCGAGTCAATTGCACCATTTATTAATTTGATTAAGAAGGAAACCTCAAGAACAAATCTACGTTTCTCGAGTGACGGTAAGGATAACAGAAGCAACCTATTTTCATAGGGTGGAAGAGTGGAAATCGGGTCCCAACCCAAATTCCTAAGGGCAAACAGTAAGAATTGCTTTTGTATAGATTCAATTGAATCTACGTAGCACCTATATGAAGGAGACCACACAACAGAGGCATACTCAAGTATAGGTCTAACCAAACACGTGTAAAGCCTTTTCGTAATGTAACGATCATCAAGCTCTTTGGACCACCTCTTTATAAAACCAAGCGCGGACCTAGCTTTGCTTAACGAGGACTCAATATGCAAATTGAAACGTAACCTATTATTCGACTATAGGTTACGTTTAAATCTATGAACGAATCGACGTTTTCCAACCTGTGCGAATCAATGATGTATTGAGTACTGAACGACTTCCTTCTTAAGAAAGAAAGCTTCTTACATTTATTTAGATCTAGTTTCAGTCACGGGGAATTCATCCGAGGTAATGAGGTTAAACAAAACCCTGAATGATCTACCATGCAGATAAGAGCTTAACCATTCCACTAAGAAGAGAGGAAAGCCAGAGGTCTGGATTTTAAATCTAAGTAGTCTATGATTAACCATATCAAACGCTTTGCTAAAGTCAGTGTAAATGACATCAGTGCGAGAACCACTAGAAAAAGCCTTGAAAACATGAGAAGTAAACTCTAACAGATTGGTCACCGTAGATCTTCGCTTTCGAAAACCATGCTGGAAAGGAGAAATATACAATTTCATGGAAAAGGCTATATACTGAGCCACAATTCGCTCGAACAGTTTAGGTAAGACACTCAACTTGGCAATGCCTCTGTAGTTCTCTACAAGTTGCCTACTACCACTTTTGTGAATAGGAATAAGGAAAGAAGTCTTCCAACACAAAGGGAAAACACCTAAATTCAAAGATTTATTCAAAAACTTTGAGATAACAGCACAAAGCTCGCCAGCATAAGATATGAGTACACATGAGGGGCTTCCATCAGGTCCAGGCGAACAATTATATTTCAGAGAGCTCAATCCTTCAAAAACGTCATTTTCAGATATAACAAAGTTAGGAATTGAAATCGAATTAGAAATCGGATATGGATAGTTTACCGATAAATCAAAATTGGCAGTTGAAAAGTTCTGTCGGAAGTATTCCGCACAGAGATTTGAGGTTTCAAAATCATCCGAGGACTCGGAGCCATTAAAAGACACAAACGACGGATTTATGGAGATTTTTCTTTTGGATTTAACGAAATTAAAAAAGTATTTAGGGTTAGCAAACAAGGAGGATTTAACAAACTGAAGGTATCTGCAGTAGTATTGGCGGTTGAGGGAATTAAATTTATGCCTTGCAACAGAGTAAGCGAAATAGTCGAAAGAAGAACCACTTTTCGAAAATTTTTTGAAAAGCTTGTTTTTCCTATTCTTGTAGTATTTAATTGTTTTATTAAACCACGGGGGACTCTTGCTTCGAGGACGAGACTGCTTGATCGGAACGGATGCAGAAATAGCTTGATTTAATATATTGTAGAACGACGACAGTAAGCTATCAATGCTTCCCCCTGAGAAATCGAGCACAATATGAGAAAGATGTGATTTTAGTATGGAAACATTGATTTTATGGAAATCATAAAGTTTATATGAAGAATTTGAATTTTGAACGTTATAGAAGTTCAACGAACCAACATACTTGTAATGAAAGGAAACACCCAATGCTGGATGATATGGATCCTCAGGTAAACTAAACGGAAGACAACGATTAACGCAAACCTCAGGAAAATTTGCAAAGCAGAGATCAAGAAATCTACCATTGCAATTAGGGGTACCATTGTATTGAACTAAATTATTATCAAATAATTCATTGAAGAACACAACGGCTTTATCAGATGTTGAGGTAGGAATCAAACAGCCAGAACTATCACTGTAAAACCAATTGACTTGAGGCAAATTGAAGTCACCAACGCAAGGACAATATCGGTAGGTTTAGATTGCTTGGCCACTTCACAAATGAGGGCGGCCTGTTTCTTATATACAGAGATATCCGAATTTCGGGGAATATAGGAGCAGGTCACATATAAGTGTTTATTAGGAAATTTCACTCGAATGGCGATAAATTCAACATCGGGAGTAGCTGGAAATTCAAACGAATAGATGGGGGGTGCCGAAGAAATGGCAATTAAAACACCACCACCATTGCGATACATACGATCGTTTCTGAAAACTTGAAACGAATTATGGAAAAGTTCCGACGAATGTAGATCCGGCTTCAACCATGTTTCAGTGAAGACCAAACAGGAAAACTCCGTGCTCACTGAATTTAGGAAGGTAGAACGAATTTTTGAATTTAACATTTTGATAAATGAAAATACATATCTTTTTTTTTTGTACGCTGTTATAAAATTCGTGAGTGTTAGCGCTAAATAAAAATAAAACAAGTTCTGCCTTATGACGTTTGGACGTTTTATGTTAATCATATTGAAAGCAACGAGTGTGCAACCGCATAAGCAAGAAAAGTTTTTATGTAGTTGCACTCTTATTCATTTTGCTTTCAGTGAAAATATTTTTCCATTCGCTTTATCTAAAATTACCATTTATTAATATGTATACAAAGTATCGCCCAATCTGCTGGAAGGATATGCTAATTTCGTCGTTCCGCTGACGCTCGGCAAATAAGAAAACATATGGAAAGAGCGCATGTGGCACATTATTTTCCTCTCTTTTTTACTAATCTGCGTAAAAAGATAACTAACTCGGATCCGTCTTATTGCACACTCCATACAGTTTTTTTCTTGTAGTCTTCTTTTTGAATCATCTAGACATAACGATCATAATGGATTTTGCTGGTCTTTCTCTTGGTAGTCATATATTTTGCTGGTCTTCCTCTTGCTGAGCCTAATTTGTAATGCCCAAACTAATCAATGCAAAATCTACTGCAACTACCAAGACCACATGAAACGCATATGCTCGGTCTGATGTAAGGAAGAATAGCTACAACTCATAAAACGATCATAACGTTTGCTATACTGCATAACGTCGTTGAAGGCTTTTTTACTTTACCGAATTTGTTGTTGCATTTTTCAACTTTGTCTACTTTTCGATGGTGCACTTGTTTTGATATATAGATCTTTGCGATCTATTCGTTTGAGGGTCTGTACAATTCACAATAAAAATATATATATATATATGAAATTCTTATTCTTTTTAATGGTTTCCCGATTGTTTCCGACTCTCCGACTTTTTCCTTGACTTGGTCGCTTTTGCTCTTCTATCATCTAGATGTTTAGTGTTTTGGAAAATACGCGAACTGAACTTATTTAATATTACAAGTTAGCTTAAAAGTAGACCGCCATAATTTTTTTTATTATCAAATTAAACAAAACAGTAGCTAAATTTTCTGTTATTTACAGAGCAAACGTAATACTCTATGCTAATTTACAGAAAGAACGTAATACTCTATGCTATTTACAGAGCAAACGTAACACTCTATGCTATTTACAGATAGAACGTAATACTCTATGCTAATTTACAGAAAGGACGTAATACTCTATACTAATTTGCAAAGCCGTCGGCAAAAGTCCCCAATTTGTTCCAAATTCTCTGCTAATCAATAAAAAACAATTCGGCCATTTAACAACAAAAACAACAGCGTAGTGAATAAAGCATATAAATAAATAAAATTAAGTGAAAATGAACAGAAAATAATTAAACCGTTTATACAAGCCGCTTATAAAATTGCGGTTTTTCTTTACTTTTTTAACTTTAAATTAATTTACATTAATTTACATCTAAAGGCAAGCAAAGCCAACGTTAAATATACTCTGCTAATTTACGAGCGAACTTTATGTTAATTCCAAAGCCGTCGGCAAAAGTCCCCCAACACAATCGTGACCATTTTTCTTTTAATAACAGAAACTTTATAAAAGCAGCAACCCTGCATCAAATATCTGTTTCATTCCGCTTGTTTATCGCAACTCTTGTAAATGAAGTAATGTAATCTACGAACGTTGTGAAAATAAAATAGTAATCGGGAAAAAAGCATTTGTGAGAACATTTTCAATTTGTAATAGACTGCCTGCATAATTTGAAAAAATGTCACGAATGAAATTAGAAAGAGATTTAAAAAATAGTACTATTAATTTTGATCGCCGCTTATTAATTACTGAATTGTTGGAGCTTTATGAACTGGAACTCGAAGATGTCCAAGAAATTTTGTTGCTCTATTTAAAAGAACAAGAGCAGATTAATGGAAGCAAATACGATAAACGCTTTGCTGTGTGGGCTGAAGAGCACTTAAAGGAAGACAGTATTAGAGAAGTTTGTAAGTAGAATCAATAAATTCAGCTTTTTGATTTGATGTTTTTATACCCTACTTGTGCGGACGATGACTTGACATTCAACTCCTTTTATTGTCCGTCTAATGTCTGCTGATGTCTGTCCCTGTTTTTTTTTTTTGTTTAACATTCAATTTTGAGGTCTTGATCAAATTTAATAAGCTTACTCGTTTTGACCCAACAAAGAACCACTTTTTCGACTATTTCACTTATAAGACCTTATTTTGAAAAGTCGTTGTATGAATAACTTTATTAACCGACTTAGCGGAGCGTATTTAATGGTACTCTACTGTAGTGTTTTGGCTTGTTTTAACTTAATGTTAATGCCATGAATCTTTTATTCTAGGCAAAATCGTCGAAGAATCAAAGTTGGCAGAATGTAAGCTGCAGAAATTAAAATCTATGCTGTACTCAGTAGAGATTTTTGTAGGAGCCAAGTCTGCAGGCGCAAATTTTAAACCTATGGCTATAGCAAAGGATGCTAAATTAAAACAAGTCCTAAAACACCAGGCGAATGGTTCTCTAACCTTAGAGGAAAATTCAACAAAAAAAGAATCTGCTCGCAATAAAGTATATCAAAACGTACAAACAGTCTGTAAAACAGATGATCGACTATATGATAGTGATGAAAAGTTGGCAACAAGCTGTAAAGTTGGCAAAACTTCTCCTACGGAATTCCAAACCAGTTCTAAAGACAAGCGAACTTCTAATAAAAATTCTCCTACAAAGCTTATTAAAAACCAAAAAGGGATTAATACTTATTTTACTGCGGGCCTTCCTAAGAAAAAATCTGATGAATCTAAAAACATCAAAAAACTGGAAGTTGCCCCAAAGAAAAAACAAGATTTTTTTAAGAAACAAGAAAAGCCTTGTTCATTTACCAATACTACTGGAGAGGAACCCGTTAATGCGTCCATACAACTTTTCGGGGAAGAAGACGCAGCAGAAGGGAAGGATTATGCTGAGCAAATAGAGTCTTCTGATGAAGAAGAAAAGCTGGAAGCCTTGAAGCGAGATATAATATCTTCTGATGTGGAATTGGAAGACAAAGAAGCTCACGTGTCAAACAGTTGCAAGAGGCGGAGAATTATCGATTCCGATGACGAAGAAGATGAATCGCCACAAGAAAAACAAGGAAAGCTAGATGATATTAAGAAAGAAGCAGATGTTAAACCTCAAACATTTCTCGATGACGATGGCTTTGTTATAACCGTGAAATCAAAATCTGTGAACCAATCCTTAGTTAAAAGCAAAACTATGTCGTCTCCTGAAACAAAGAAACCTAAAATACAAAATGGCAAAAAATCGCCAATTCCCGTTAATGCTGAGGTTAAATCTAAACAGTCTGGTATTAAAAATTATTTTAGCACGAAATAAATTTCCCATAAAGTCTATGTATATATATCTTATATCTTTGCTATATTTTTAATTACAAATCGTACATTTTCCCGCTAGATATTACTTGATAAAAATTTCAAATAAAAATAAAAGAATTCAAAAAAATTACAAATTAGTTTCATCTCGCCTGAACAAGCAAATTTATAAAATAGGTGTATGAAGTCTATGGAAGGTTTAAAAAGCTTTTCAAGTTTTCGCGTAAACATATTTGTGCAAACAATTTTACCAGCTCCGCACGGCTAAGAAAGGAAACATGTATGTATGGAACCTCCGGTAACGGGTTAGGTAAACTTAAAATTGCTGAAAACTGACAAATATGATCAGATAGATGTCAGCCTCTTAGAGTTAAGTTACTGGAAAACTTATAAGAAATCTAGGAACGATTAGATAATAAATTATTAACAAATTACTTAATAAATCCATTATATCTTTCTTATCAATTTTAGTAAAATGCGTTTTGAACCGTTGGGCCAGAAAATGTTCACGCGACGTAACTGGTTGCTGCGCTGTAGTATTCTAATAAATATTGCAGTTATTTTGTACATATGCAGTCATGTAATGATTGGCGGTAATAATAACTTCACTGCGGGCTCACAATTCTTCATAGCAGAGCAGCAACCGCAACAAGTGAATGTAATGGCCAAAGATGGTTTAGTAAAAAATGTAAGTTTTTTTTGTAAACAGGAATATTAACGATTTTTATAAACTACTCTCTTTAATATAGGATCAACAGCCATCTTCATCTTCTTATTTGCAAGCTCCAACTTCATCACCGTCCGCTCCCAGTGACGCTGGTGGATTTCCGGGAGCTACTGACACGCAGCAACCGATTAAGGACTCCGATACTCCCGAAATGGATCCTAATATCGGAGATCCCGCTCTGGTTATAGGGAATATAGGCCAAAATTCGGCCAGTGAAACCCAGAATTTTGTTAACAACACTAACACTGATGGTTATATAGTAACTGGAGACGAAAAAGACTTTGACGAACGGCTACGTAGCTTATTGAAGTGCTACGATCGTCCTTTTGAACCAGAAATTCTTCAAAGAGGAGATTTTTGGGTTTTAAGCAATTATATAAGAGCAGATCATGGTGTTTTAAAATGTCATGAGGCCGTGACTTACACAACTCATTCAGATTACACGTTTTTGGATAATCTAGTACCGTTGCTAGAAAGGTAAGAAAATTATAACGCATATCCCCCCAACTCTTTTTTTACATGGTAGATGTGTTCCGTGTGGGAATATAATCCACAATTTTGAAAAATCATGTAAGATAAAAAAGTCTACAAACTTTCCAAAAAAACCTGCAAGAAAAGTAATAATGACAAAAACAAATTTATATTGGCGTACAGTTAATATTCAGTCCAAGACAACGTGGTTGCATTATCTTTCTTTGTGGTTATGTTACGTTTGTTGTGTTTATAAAAATTGTTTGTGTAATTGAAATTAGAAAAAATATCAATTTCCCAACTATTCTTCGCTACTTCGTAACAAGCTTGCACGTTTGCTACGGACTAGATCAAAAATGTTGTCATCGGTAGATATTTCAAATCAAGAATTTCCTCCCTTATTAGTTTTTGTCGTGTTATAAAGCATTTCGGTGGCATTCTTTTTCTGTTTTCTCAAATTGTTTATATAATTCTTGGTATCCAAGTTTCTGCAAACACTGTCACAATTAAAATTAAAATAAATGTTTATTTCTTTGATTCGTGTTAGAACAAGAAGGCCGGCGAAAAAAAAATGTTGGTGAATCATGTTATATCGAAACCGTTTAAAAAACGGGCGTTTAAAAAATGAGTTGGGCATATATATAATCTCCTTTAATTGCTTTACAATCTTCTCTTTTTAGATGGAATGCTCCTATTAGCATTGCGATGCATGCTCCTGGTACTGATTTTCAACCTACTTTAGATTCCATTAAGTATTTGAGGGGCTGTCTGCCCGAGAGTAACCTTGTGCGTATGTTTGTCACATTTCACATATTCTTCAGTACTAAACATATCCCAAAAACCGTGCCCAAGCATTATGCTGTCCTCAAAACGGGCTACAATTGCAGTCTGCCTGCGCCGTACGTCAATGTTTCTCTGGGTCACCTATACAAAACGCAGAAGAAACTTTTATATCCAGTTAATGTTGGCCGAAATATAGCACGAGATGCAGCGACTACGCATTTCATTTTAGCTTCGGATATTGAATTATATCCCAGCCCAGGTTTAATGAAAAAGTTCTTAGAAATGATTGCACGTAACGAGGCATACTTGCATCGGACGGCACCACGGTAAATAGGAATGATGTTTAATTGTATACTACTTGACTTGACTTGTCGTACAGGGTAAATGAATGCTTTGCGGACGTATCTAACGTCCAGAGGGACTTAATAGATAGAGATAGATAGATCCAATTTTTATTATAAATCATTTTCTGAATCTAAGCTTGGCTGTCCGCGTATTTTTTTGGTTCAATATTCTGGTCACAATATTCGAGATATTGTGCTGAAGTTCGGTATACTGATGTGATTTGGCGCAAGGATGATCACCGAACACAAGCAATCGAAAATAATAAAATGTTGGACAATATTGAACAAACAAATTGGCTTTCATGAGAATTACGCATTTACATAGAAATAATGTATAGTTTTTGGTGTATTATTAAAAAAATGAGTGAACAAACCCCATTAGGGCGAAACGGTGTAAAGTATCTAACGGCGGCCTTACCCGATTGTAGTATCCTTGCTTCTTTTTCTTTAAATATTATGTTCATCAAATGTAAATGTGTACGTATATCCAAGTACTCAGTGTAAGCGACTTAAAAAATATATTTATTCTTCAGCTAAAATTCGCTTCCCTTTGTTTACCTACAATTTAATGTTGAAAAATTAAAATAGCTGATTTCGATAGTGTTAATTGGAATTCCGTGGATTAGTTTGAAAATGACTGTCTGTCACTCCCAAATTCATTTCAAGAAAGCGAATCAGCAAAAAAAAAAAAAAATTTTTTTTATAGCAATAATCCGCAATCTGCTAAAAATGTCACGTATTGTCGGGTATTCGAAAATTGATATTCTCTAAAAAGAATGGTTGTCTATAACAGCACTTCTCTTCTATACAAAAATTTTCGATAAAAACGTTTAATGACTTTGAATTTTAGCGTTTTCCCCTTGTCGATATTTGAAGTGGAGGGTAGTGCTCCAGTTCCACGTGATAAAACCGAGTTGCAAGAGTTTCTTCGTACAGGTAAAGCAATACCATTCCATAAGCGCGTATGTGCCAGTTGCCATGGTGTACCAAAATCTAAAGAATGGATGGCAGCCAATGAAACAGATGACTTGTGTGTCTTCCACATAGGTAAACGTACCGGTTACTTTGTGCACTGGGAGCCGATTTATATTGGAACTCATGCTGAACCTCACTACGACGAACGCTTAAGCTGGGAAGGCAAAAGTGATAAAATGACACAGGTAGCCAATCATTGTTTTTTTTTTTTAATAAAATCTTTGAGATCACAATAAAACATAATCTTTGGTCTTCGTTGTCTATCAGGGCTACGCTTTGTGCGTTTTAGATTATGAATTCCATATATTGGACAATGCTTTTCTCGTTCATAAACCGGGAATTAAAGTCTTAAAAAAGGACAATCGCCGAGCAATGTTGGCCAGTAAAACAAATCAATTGATACGCAAAATCATCTATCCGGAATTGAAAATCATGTATGGCACTCGTAAAGGCTGCGCCGTATAGTAACTGATAATAGTTAGGTAGCATAAAATATTTAAAATCAATATCGATACACTTTTGTAAGTTTTAAAGACTTTCTCCTGAAACATTATTAGAAAAGCTGTTAATTAGAAAAGTTGAACAAAAGGAAATTTTTAGTATTTTTTTAAACATAGAAACACAGGCGATTAGATTTTAGAAATTGAAACTAGAAGCAGATATAAATTCAAAGTAAAGAAGTATAAGACTAAACAAAGCTTAATGGAATTTATGGCAAATCTTAAAAAAAGTGGAATTTGCCGGAATAGTAGATTTCCAATACAAATATAAATAAGACAAAAAGTGATTATTTTTATATTGAATAATAAGAGAAAGTTCTTTATTGATATTTTGACTAACTATGGAATGAAATTGATTTCCAAAGCTATCTTTAAAATATTGTATATATTGTTAAGCAAATACGTTAATGAATTTTCAGTTTAAATTATATATAAAGTGATTCTTTCGGAAAGTAGGTTCCCATTATCCCAACGAAAGCGTCGGGCTTAATAACTCCAATAAGCACTTTATTTCTAAGAAAGAGAACCATCACTTTTTTGTTTGCTTTTTATTTTCACAAGAATAGCGGTGTTCAAAGATGACGTTGTGAACACAAATAATAAAAAGAAATGTCGAGTCTGTTTCCTCCATCTCTTTCTGTCAATATGAAAGCTGAAGTCTGTTTCAACATTAGCCCTTAGAGCCTAGAACTTTTAATAGCTGGCTTGAAAAATTTTTCGCCTAGCCTTCGAAGGCAAAAAGTATTGAAAAAGAGAAAATTTCGGGGAGTTTTTCTTCGCTTGCCGCAAATATCTACAAACAATATCTTCGAGAAATACATTCTTTCGATTGAATAATTAAAATTGACATATTTATTAATGTATAGTTTATTTTAAAGATTTTTTTGGCGATTGATTATTAGAGATATATTTTTTTCTTGCTTTCTTTAATCATACTAGGTATTTGACACTTGTGTTCCCTTGAATTTATTATTTTATATATACATTCCTTTTATTTTTGTTTATATCATTTTTTCTAAACAGACTTACGCATTTTTTTAACCAATTCGCATTATTGTAATTTATTCACCTACAAATTTTTTTATATTCTTTTAAATTAAGAGAAAGTCATTAGTAAAATAAATATATAGAAAATTAGATTACTTAAGACTTAAATCAAACACTACCGAGAGCAACATTTTTTTTTTTTTCATTTGCAAATTAATGATTTAGTTTAAGTCATTTATCTGTTTGGAAAGTATTTCGCCTAAATTTCTTTACTTAATGTAATTTATATGTCTACTATTTTATTTAGTTTTGCTATGTCTAGTTTAAAAAAACGTGATAATATGATAAGCTCTAGTTTTAAGAAACAAATTTCGATTTATTTTTTTATTTTATTTTTTTTGCTCTATTGATGTAAAACCTTTCCTTACGAATGCAACCTGTTTTATAAACCACTGACGATAAACTTTTGTAAATAGTAAAACATAAAAAAGAGAAAATAAACTATAAATATTTTTTTAAACTTTAAAAAAATAAGGTGGTGGGTTTTCTTTAGAAAAAAAATCCATTAAATTAAGACGTTAATCATAAACTGAAAACAAAATAAATGAACATAATTGCTGTAAAATAGAAGACTACAAAAGCTTTTAGCAATTGAGGGAAGAGAGAAAAGGAAAAGAAAAGTAAAGCAAGATAAAAGAAGGAAGAAATTATATTCGGTTCGGGACCAATTTGTTAATACCCATCACTAACTTGGGTTTCATATTCGATTGGAAGGTAGAATGCTGACTGCGTCATTCTTGTCATGCGTACCGTGTATCGTACGTATCGTATTTCAAACAGCATTCATTGTCCTATTTGGCAGCATTTTGCAATTAAAATTTATATTTTCGCATGCCGTCATATTCACATATACATTTTTTTGACTGAGCTGGCGACTTCTTTGAGTAAGAACGTTAGATTGAATTTAAAGTTATAAAAGCCAAGTAAAATCGTCAATTACATAGTAACGTTACGTAAATCCATGAACTAACCTGATGAACATGATTACAAATATTAAATTTGAAGATAAAATTTTGAAGGCGTAAGAGTGATTCCAATCGGCGAACGGGCAAATAGACAAATGTGCGTTATTTAATTTCATCATATGCTCTTAATCAAGAGGAAATGTATCAATACGTGTTACAAAAAGCTTTTTGTAATGAGTATGTAAAATGTACCGAAGAAGATATTTAATTATATGAAATTAAAATTCTCTTTAGGTGACTGAGCACCACAACTAACTTAAAACCCAACATTAAAAAAAATAATATGTTAGTAAAAATGACAAACCTTTTTTTGAATGCATACGAAAAGAGATGTGGCAAAAAATACATTATATAATTTAGGATTCACTTTTCGTAATCTCAGCCGTTTTGTCATCAATTCCTCTAAACCCACCTTTGAATTTATGGGCATTTCGATATATGCTATTGATATTATGCATTTTTCTATGATTGCCAAAACTAAGCGGTCCGGCTAAGAAGGTCGGGTAAAAAGAATAATTGAACTTAATGTCCTTTTAGCTACCATTGCAAGGCATTATATTGTTGATGCGGCTGAAAGCATCCTATTTTCTCCTACATCAAAGGCTAGATGCTTTAATAAGATGACTAGAGCGTTGGGCCAGAAAAGAAGTGCATATGTATGTTTTTTTGGGAAACTAGTTCTCTTGGAGGAGTAACACTTTGAACGCAATCTTTTTCCACGAGATGTATTGTTGAAAATTTCCTAATTGCAAAGTTCGTTGCGGGCTATGCCATATAATATGGATATGTTTCATTTTTTTGAGTGTACTTTGGTGCACTTAAAAGTAGAAAGAGCACCAGCAACAATAGTTTGTTAAGAAAGCAATCATTTAGCTCTGATCTGTTATTGGGCAAAACGAAATTTGATAACCTATCACAGCAGGCATGGACAACGGGCATTTGTATTGAACATCTAGATGGTCTGGGTGAATGTTCGTAAAAAGGCTTTAAATCAATATTTTCTGTTCAGCCTCTGAGACCTTAAGCATTCCACCAGCAAATAATAGGTAAGGAATTGAATAGTCGGAAAATCTGACATCATTATATATGTTTTTCGAATTTATAACACAGATTTCTGGATGGCAACATGTTGCAAACATCTGTTTTATCTGTTTATAAAGATAGATTCAAAAAAATAATTGAAATTCCCTTCCTGCCTACCAACTATAATGGTTTTTAGGCTTTCATAAATAAAGTTAAAACTTACAAATAAACGCGCAAACTACTATAGTGCATCATAAATATTTATATAACAAAAAAAATAAATAAATAAATAATTAATTTAAGATTAAAAAAATGTTGTTTTTTGAATTCTTCACGGTTTTAAAACTTAAAATACATTTTAATTCCAAATAAAAAAATTAAAAAAAAATATTTGTACATTAATTTCTTTCAGTTTAATTTAAACAGAACGAAAACAGAAAAGAAAATTATATTTTCAAGTGCCTTAGAAAATTTCAGAACACAAAAATTTATAAAGAAAAAGAATATCAAAAACAAAAAAAATATACGGGAAAAAGAAACATTAATATAAATACACCAAAAATCTTAAGAAATTTTCAATTATTAAATAAAAAAAATTTTGAAATTAGGTCAAGAAATAATGATTGAATTAACTAAATAGAGATATATGAGAACCGTAAGCTTTTAAACCGAATAGCTTTTAGGTAATATTTAAAGACACACAAAATATGTTAAAAACATTTTTTTCAAATATTCATTGAATAATAAATAATTCATTGCTTTCTTTAAAGCCATTGTACAATTCAAGCGTAATTTTAAACAAAACTAAAGACTATTATTGCCTTGGGGCGAATATTGTGAATCCATCATCTGAGGAGAGGATTCGAATATGTTCTTACTTTAAAAACATCAAGAGACCGATCGAAGACATTTTACAAAATATATTTTCACGATTGACGACTAAGATAGTTACAAATCGCATTGTTATTGAATTTTGATTAATTTCTCTAAATTATCTTTCTATCGACATGCAGTGTAAGTTGGACATTCGCTATAGATAATAAGCTGTTTTTTTGTTAAGGTGGGTACGTAGATGTTTTGCTCCAGGCAGGTTTATTTAAATAATCATAACGTTAACTTAATGCTAAAATTAATGCTAAATCTATATTATAACAACTATTAAGCAGCAATATTTAATACATATTATTATGCTCTATCACTTGTAGTGCAATGGTATATTTTTTTTCCGTGTGCATACAGCTCAGAGGACTTATGGTGGATCTATCTTTTGTTATACTGACCGATTCTGAACCGCTTTCTGAATGTATCTAAACTTGTCTATCCGTCTTGTATTATTATGTACAATCTGCAGGTCGCAAATTGTGACATGATGCAAATTGATGGAATTTGCTAGACCGGGCTGCTTTAGCCCAAGGGCAACCGCTATTGAAGATATTCCGCATCAAAGCGGTTTTTCAACCTTACCATATACCGTATTATTTTGAAAAGTCAGTACACATAAAATATCCATAGACATTTTCCTATAGAAAGCGTAGATTATTTTGGTTTTAAATATGTCGAAAATGCCAACCTTTGCGATATTTTTCAAACTACTAAATCCACTTATATTAGTTTGGGGAAAAAGAAATCCATTATTTTTATATGAACTTCAGGACTTTATTTAATATGCTTCGGATTGTCCGATTTCGGTCAAATATGCACCGTTTTGTTGTATGATTTGTTGCCATTTTAAAGGTAACTTCAAAATGCCTCTCTCATAGAAGTCCTGGTCTCTATTTGCAAAAAACCCTAGTAGTCGATTTTCACAATCCTCCCTTAATCCTCCAATCCTCCCGATTTTCAAAATCCTCCCTGCATTAAAACTTCCCAACCAAGCTCCCGAACTTTCTGGCGAGTCACTGTAGATGTGTGTGGCCTAGCGTTGTCCTGGTGGAACACGACACCTCTCCTGTTGACCAATTCTAGCCGTTTCTGGTCAATTGCTATCTTCAAACGGTCCAGTTGTTGACAGTAGAGATCAGAATTTAGCGTGTGGCCATATGGAAGCAACTCATAATAAATAATCCCCTTCCAGTCCCAACAAATGCATAGCAAAACCTTCCTGGCGGTTTGAGGTGCTTCACCGCTCTTTGACCACGATCGTTTTGGCACAGGGTTATCGTATGTGATCCATTTCTCATCTCCAGTCACGATCCGTTTAAGAAATTCCGTTTGGCCAAGGCTTCGCAGATGGAAATTCGATCCATCACGTTTTTTTCTGTTAATTGGTGTGGCACCCAAACATCGAGCTTCTTTTTGAATCCAGCTTTGTGTAAATGGTTTAAAACTGTTTTATTGTCGATTTTTAGCTCCTGGGCGATGTTACGACTGCTAACATGCCGGTCAACTTCGATCATTTCTCCGATTTTTTCGACATTTTCGACGACCGGCCTACCTGTGCTACGTGTGCTGTGTGGAATCTACGAAACCAAAATTGCACATAATTGGCTGTTACAGTATCGGAACCATAAACACCATTCACAATTTTAGCCGCCTGGCTTGCATTTTCGCCTTTGTCAAAGAAAAACTAAAAAAAGCATCGAATTTTCTCGTTGTTCACTTCCATTTTTAACATGCTGTAACTCACAACTGAATGCACCAAACAAAAAACAGCAAAAGAATTTTTTTTGCTGCGAAATGTCACCTTTCCAACGAGCATAAATATGAAATTGTTTGATCGATACTTTACGAGAAATCTATCGGTGCAGCCATCTACCGAAAAAATAATGGATTTCTTTTTCCCCAAACTAATATATTACTTGCATGCCTAGTTCTAACACAATAAATTGGAAAGCTAAACATAAGACCTGCTTAAAATTAATTATTCTTATCTAAAAATCGGATTGGGAACCTTGCACTGAATAATTAAAATGTACAATTTATTACAAATAGAGCGTAAAGAAAATTGTAATTATATAGGGAGAATCCTATCTAACTACTTGGCACTACTCCCAT